TCGCTTTTGCTACAATACAGACCATCTCAAACTTAGTGACAAGCATTTTTTTTTTTTTAGTTAGTGATTATGTGGGTTGGCAATTTCATCTGACTTCAGGTGAATAGTTTTTCTGGTCTTGACTAGACTTACTCAAGCATCTGGAGAGAGCTGCCGGTCATTTTCACAGCTCAGCTTCTGGGTGATGGATGAGTGATAGAAGTGATTGAGCCACATGATTTTGATCATCCATCAAACAGGATTGTTCACATGGAAGTCTCAGAATTTGGAAAACAACAGAGAGGAAGCCCAGATGATCAGCATTTTCAATTCTGTTTGTGACTCATTTGCTACTATCCCTTTGACCAAAGCAAGTCATATGGCCAAGCCTGGGGTTAATGTAGGAATTCATTACCAAAAGGCCCAGATGTAAAAAGGAACATTGCAACCATTTTTACAAAAAAATAAAAAAATAAAAATCTACCATACATATGTTGGAAAAAATCCAATATTCCCACTTAAAACTGAGTAATGAGCCTTCATTTTGGTCTCAGTTTCCTCATTCTTAAATAAAGACACTAACACTTCACTTGCAAGTTTGCTTTAAACATCCAGTAAAATAATTCATGTAAAATAGTATTGTAAACTGTTAAGCCACACAGAGTAAGGTTTTATTTAAGGATAAATGGCAAAGCAAAAATCAGGTAGTCAGAATTACTCTTCAAAATCTTTAAATAAATTATAAACCAAAGTAAAATACGCTTTGTGTTGAATATTTGTATAGACTAAAATATGAAAGTTTTGGATTGAAACCATAGGAATTAACACAGTTCAGTCCACGTACGAATGCCTTCTCATGCAAACTATTCTACTTTGTAGATAATAATCAAAGCCCTAGTGAATGGAGAATTCTCAATGATTCTATTTGTCTGCGTTAATGTTGCCCCATTTTTTGATCATCATTGTTCTTTAACCTCAATACATGTTTAGAGATTTGTTTGTTGTCAAAAGATTAATCATGACAATGGAGTCTTCTATATGTGGTTTAGCTTGTAAAGTTATCCCTCAGAATTAAAGGGCTTAATTTTAACATAACAACCTTACAAAATATAAGGCATTTATTATTATTATTATTATTATTATTATTGTCATTATCATCATCATCGTCATTATTACAATCACACAATAGCTTTCAGAAAAGATCCATGTTAAATAAAGCAGTTTTGCCTTTTTAAAATTTTTTAAATTCACCCTTAGCCTATATGAATCACTTTTACACGTACCAAACAGTATGGTAGTCTCTGGAACCCTGTTCCAAGAACATTGGAATTTTTTTCTTCAGTCTACTTTGTAGATCATATGTGAGAAAGGAGTAGAGACTGACTATGTAGAAGTACAATGAAAGGCAGGGGTGGGAAATGAAAAATACTGTATTTGCCAAAAACATTTTTCAAGGCTTAGCAAGTAGGTGAAACTTGTTCTGGCTCTTTTAAAGCATAATAAAGAAACAAGTGATCAAGATTTTTTTTGCTAACAGTTTAATGATGTCTGGGTAAATAAAAAAGATGCTTTCATTCATCCAGTCAACTATTATTGATTGAGTGCCTACTATGTGACAGATAGTTATCTAGATGCTAGAGAAAGACCAATGAAAGAGTCAGTTGCCATTCTTGGAGTTTATTTTCTATTAGGAGTAGACTCGCAATCAATGAACCAATCAGCAAATAATCAAAAAGAAACAGAATTTCAATGCAGACTGCTTATCACAAGATTCTTGTGATAAAAAGTTATTGAGTAGGTACCTAAGATTTGGTATCAGGAAAGTCCTTTTATAGGCCTGGACCTGAAAGATGCTTAGAAGCTAATCTTGGAGATATTTGGAGAAAAAAGTATTTTAGACAGAGGAAACAGAGTTCAGAGGTCCAGAAGAAGAGCCTGAGGCAGGGGTGTGGTCGACTAGGGAAGAGAGTTGCAGATAAGTCAGCAGGCTAGCTTTTGTAGAACTCTTGGTCCTTGGATACTTGGCTTTGTGTTGCGTATTGATTCTTGGTTTTATCCTAAGTGAGCTAGAAAACCTTTGGAAGGCTTTAGGAGAAGGAATGACAGAATTTCTTTTATATTTTAAGGACTCTATTACCAATGGTTGGGTATAGAGGGGTGTGTTTCAAGGATGGCTTTCAGTATACATCTTTCCCTTCTTGCAGTTGTTCAAAACACTCTCCTCTCCCAGTCTGATTAAGTCAACTTTAGCTGCTTCTGCTTGTCAGCTCTTTCTCAGGGTTGTCCCCACCTGCCCCTGGTCATTGTATGAAGTGGTGGGGAGAGGAGTACTCTATCTGACCCAGAGAGACCACCTCTGCCTCTCATGGATTCTGGTGAGAGTCTCCCCATCCACCTTTATACCTGGGCTCAGTTTCACTTGTAGTACCCAGCATTATGCCAGGTTCTCTGCTAGGAGACAGGATCTCTGCCCTCAAAGGTTTACAATCTAGTACATGATTACATCTGCACATAGAAAAGGTAAGTATACTACAAGGAAGAAAGTAAACAAGAATTTTTTTAAAGTACTGTAGTAAGCAATAGGAGAATGCATTTAGTTTTTTTTTTTTTTTTTTGGTGTGTAAGCTTTGGTGGAGTTCGTGGCAACTGGCACTGGGTCTTACAGGAAGGAACAATGTTCCACGTGGAGCAATTTTGACCACTGTCCAGGGGGTGGGAAAATTAATGGTTGGATAATATGATTATTTCTTTGAGACGTTGATGCAGAGTAGTAGAAGGTGTGAAAAGTCAGATTGGACCCAGATTCTCATATCATGCCATGCTGAGGTGCTTGAAAAGCATTTTCTTTGTTCCTTGAATATTCTTCCAGTTGAAGTACACAATGGATTTGGAAGAAATGTAAGCAGACAGTCCTATTATTGCAATAGTTCAGATAAGAGAGAACAAAGGTCTGAAGTAAACAGTGGCAAGTATAATGATGGCGGTAAGGACTAGGGAGGAATACTGAAGTCAGAAAAATAGGAGAACGGGACTTTAAAATTCCATGCAAAATTGGCGAGTATTGATGCCACTCACAGAGGCAGATGAGATAATATCAGGAGACCCTGATTTGTGGAGAAATACGAGGAATTTAATTATTCTTGTAATGAGTCAATTCGAAGAAGCTTTATTCCTTGAAATATTTGAGGACATCTGAATCTAGCCATGTAAAACTTTGTGTTCAAATATGTTTAAAACTGTGGTTACACCATGGTTATGTGCCTTGAGCCATGAATTCTTATCATTGATAATGCAGAGCTTTCCACACATAATAAATATCAAGAATAGAAATCGCCATCCCATATCTTCATAGGGGTAAAAATTACGGTAAGAGGTTTCCTCGTTTGAAGGAATTTTCTTTTACACTCATGCAGGAACGTATGTTACAGGATGTTCCACAGGGCGTGCTCGTTGCTGCAACATGACAGAGATGAAAGCACGCTGGAACATGGAACATTTCAAATGTGTGACATGTGAAAACCACTTGCATTGCCTTGAGGACATTTCTTTAAACCTGAAGAAAATTTTTAACAGGTCCTGTTTATATTCTCAACTTCCTCTTTTTAACATGCTACAAAGTGTTAGGAGCTTTTGACTTGAAACAACAACAATAAAATATTGAATGAAAACAAAGACAATATCTCAAGTCAAATTGGTGAATAACGATCACTTGTGAAATTTTCTAAAAGGAAGAAATTAATATGACTATCCAAGTTTTTATCAATGTCAATCAAGGGAAGCTGTCCTGTGTCATGGTAAGACATGAGATTCTTCAGAACCATTAAAGGAAGATGCTGAGAATTGAGCTAAGCATTTGAGTCTTGTAAACCCTTTGGTACTGGGAAACCATCACTGGGAAAAGTTTAAGGATGCAAAAGCACCCACAGAGACATTTATTAAAGTCATTCATTAGAAAGGAGGCACACGACAATTTATACAGCTCTGTTCTTTTCAGTCATCTGAACGCTCTTAACATAAAAAGTTCACTCAGGTTGGATTTGACCATTTTTGAGAGGTAGGACTATGTTATCCTTATGGAGGCCACCATCAATCTACTCTTAACAGTCTTGTTTTGAAGTCAAGTTACGAAGAATATCCCTAAAGTTGCAGGCTACAAATGTCTCTACATACCTATATTTTTCCTATTCATGTAGAGTGGAACCTCTAAAATAGTTTTGCCAATTCATGTTATCTACTCCAAATTTCACAAATGGCAGCTCATTTTCAGCCTTGAGATATGGATAGTTTAAAGTACTTGTACAAACCTATGGACTTTCCTATTAAATGTTAGCTGAACTATGGGAAGTAAAATTCTGATTAAGGTAGATGAGTACCCTTGAAAAGTAGTTTAACCCATAACGCACATATTTAATATCATAATGTCTATACTAAAGGTATTTTAAAGTAAATTAGAGACATCACAACAGAAGGTTGCAGGATAAAAGTTTGAGAAATATAAATGATGTGCATATGAATAAAAAGGTTGTATTTGGGATCTTTGTCAGAAAACATTTTAATATTCTAAATTCAACTTTTCAAGCTAAAAAACAGGTCTTCATATTTTGTATTCATACTTTTTTTTCTTCTATTGTTAGAAGAGTCTATTAATGCAAGGGAGCTATGGACTCATCTCAAAAGGTGGAAGTGATACCTGGGTTTATTTTGGAAGTTCTATAGAAATTCCAATTCCTGCTCAAGTTATCGATTTTTCTTTGTGCTATTTAGGAAATCTTTAAAAAGTAGCACTTGAAAAGTATGAGTCTTCAAGCAAAGTTAAATTTTAATATTTAAAATCAAAAGTTCTTTCTTCAGATTTCATCTTTGCCACTTACTAGTTGTCACTCTTTTATTTAACTTCTTTTATTCTTCCTTGAAGTGAGAGATTAGATTGTTCTCCAGAGTGTAAATTAGGTCTCTAGTGTTGAGGAAGGATTTACTACCATTCCCTGGAGTTAGGGTGGGGAGGGGAGGTCAAGAGCAATATCGGGAAACACTGCTTTAACCTAAGTGAAATTCTTTCTTAATTGCAGTTCTCTCCAAAGCCATTAAAATGCTAATGTACAACCTCCTAGAGGGCCAAACAAATATTTCAAATGTTTTACTTCTTGAAAGATTTGCATGTGCTGCCCTCCTCCGCTGGAATTCTAAGAGGTTTCTTTTGTTTGTTTGTTTGTTTTAACATATTAACGCTAATAAAATATTTTATTGTCAACATGATGATTATTTTTATATTAATTTAAAAGATTACATTCTTTCAGAAACTTTTTTATTTAATCAAAAAATTTTCTTTGTTGGTGCCCTAACCACATGCTTAGTTTACCAAAGGTTAATCCAGTAATGCGGGTCTGGTGTTCAGTTTTTCCCAAACTCTGGACCATAGAACCCTTCTTTTCACATGGCATCACATAAAGTTAATCTGTCAGGAATGACACTGGAGAATATTGCATTATTAGATGATCTTTAAGACTTCTTCCAGCTCTAAAAGTCTAGAATTCTAAGACTATGCTACTTCCTAATCAATTCACTCTGCATTTATTTATTTATTTATTTGTTTGTTTGTTTGTTTGTTTGTTTGTTTGTTTGTTTTGGTGGCGGGAGGATGGAGGATGAGAGAGTTCAAAATGACTCTGTGATCTTAAATTTCCTAGTCTTCCAACAACCACACTGACCTTAGAAGTTCCTTATCTCAATTCCAGTATTGCAAGGCATTTTTATTCTTTAAGCCCTCTCTGGCAAACTGAATTGTCAAGAACACCAATTTCCTATACATTCTAAGTATATTAATGATTTGCAAAGTATGTTCTTGATTACTATGCTTACATGTCCTTTAAGTTTATGAGTAATAATACATTCTGTTTGCACAGTACTCAACATCTCACTCATACTCAACATCTCATTCACATGAATTTCTCTTTTTAAGTTACAACTAATTTTATTTCTAAAATAATCTCACTGTCCAACTTGAAGTGTTCCTGTTGCTATTGGTCACAGCCTTGAAAATTTAGAGGTCTTCTATTTTTATGGATATCAGTGGAACAACCCATAATCATTATTTAAATGTGCACTTTCACACTTCATCTAAAACAGAAAAAAGTGGACAGTTCTATTAAATAACACCTTTCCCTTCAAATTTCAGCTAACAACCCTGAAAATGTAAAATACAATTATTTATTTCTCCTCATTGGTTTTCAAATAGGAATGACACTACTTGAAGGATCAAGAAAGTGATGGGAGAGGGCTATTAGAAACATCCGTGTAAGGTTATAAAACTCGAAAATGGCTTTAGCACAGCTCATAAATGTGGATGCTTTGAGACCAGTGCACATGACACACCTGAGCATGGAGGGTGGTCTTTGTCAGTGTGGTTCACTGAGTAAGACACCATTCACAGAGCAGCTATTATAGACATTCACGGTGTTTTAGGCATTTTCTGCTCAATGTTTAATAATACCAGAGTGGAAGAAGGGAATGGAATCAATGAATAAATCAAAAACCAAAAACACAAAACCATACACGATAGATTCTTAGAAATAAAGTAAATCTATACTTTGCAAAGGTATAAAGAGAGACCATATATATACCATGGTTCCCATGACTACTACTAATAGAATGTTTCTTATTGTTGCTGCTTATTATGAACATCTTAGTTGCATTTCTTCTTTAAAAAACCCTACTTTCTTAACTCAGAAAAAATTTTATCTCTAGGCACTTAAATTATTGGTTAAAAATGAAAATATTCAATTTACTAACTAGTCACTTTCCTTACATTATTCTAGGTACAAATTGATCTGGTTCCTAAGAGCCATACGGACTCATATGAGGGCTTTTTGCAGATTAAAAAGAGCAAACCCACTTAATCATCCTCAGCTAACTATCATAGAGTTTAAAACATTGTTGAGGGCTTTTTCTCAATTTGAATAAGGCCCACTTGCTCAGGGTGCATGCAGTCCTGCATCGCAGTGCATAGCTTGGGGAATAGACTAATGGCTGGAACTTAGCCCCACTGTACTCCCCCAGACGTGCATCCCGTGCAATGAACAGCCTATACAACTATATCCAGCAACTCTGAGGTTTCTCTACTAAATTACGCAACTGGGCATCAGAAGAACCTACAGAGAGAAGAGGCCCTCATCTACGTATGACCTCCAGATAGTTTAAATGTTCTTCTTTTTAAAGCACACTCCTGAAATTATTTAGCAAAATTCTAATCTATGGGTGGAAGAGCTAAGAGTAAAGGTCAAACTACTAGAATCTCAACCTTACAATATAGATGAGGCAACAGCAGAAGACATTATTTGGGCTGTGCTAGGCAAAATGGCAAATAGTAAAAGTGACATTTGTCTAGTTAGACACCTACTATGTGCATACCACTCTGGCGGACTTCTGGAGAGTAAACGTCAAAATAAAATACAGTTTCTACTGTCAAGAATTTGAAATCTTGATGAGGTGAATGAGCAAGGAAGAAGAGAAGAGGGAAAATGAATAAAATGGCATTGCCCTCTTAACCATCCTACTTAATTGCTTGGACCAATAAAACTTGTGGCATACTTGGCGAATACTACAAGATAACATACAATCCATTGCTAACATCTTGAGTATGTAGTAGGGACTCCCATATTTCTTGACTGAGTGAGTAATGAATCCCATGAGAGTTCTGAGGGGTAGAATTACTCAAAGAATTTCTGGGGAAGCTACGACATAAGCCAGTCAATAAAAAATAGGCTCCATTCACAAAGGGAGTATTTTTTATCTGGATATATTTATAATATTTGTTACTTTAGAATTAAAAAATATTCTTGACCATTTAGCCTTGATATTTAATGTGAACATACTTTCTGGCTTGAACATAAGTTTGTGTGAAAGTGGCAAAATTTGACACTTTAATCCGCCCAATATGCTTTTACGACTTGACTTCATTGATGACGGTGATTTTGAAAGAGCTTGGTATCTTTTAAAGAGACATCACTGGAAAAGAGCACAAAGGAGATTTCAAAGTTGCTTTGATGTAATAACCACTCCTAATCAATTGTTTTCACAGACCATAAACAAGACTGAAGAATGTCCGTCTGAAACTTTGCCTTGAATGAAGAAACTTCACTGAACAAGAAGTTGGCTTCCAGTTTGCACAGGCGTCAACGGAATGCTTTTTTTTTTTTTTAAATTTTCTACTTTATCCAACGAAAACAAAGTGTTTTTATGTGCTGTGCAAATGGTTCCTTCATGTGGTCTGACAGTTTCTTTTTTGCCATCATTTTTTTTTTAAATTAAACTTTAAAAATCCCAGAAGAGGAAAAACAACAAAAACAACAAAACAAAACATGGAAGGTTGACATATTATCTGGAAGAATATTTAAATTCGGAATTTACCTGAAGGTGTAGATGTCAAGAGGTGGGCAAGCAGAAATGGAAACAAATTGTTTTCCTCAGTAATTAAGCTAGACTTTCCTTTTTTCCTTTTCTTGTTTAAATGTGGGTTGTTGTTTTTTTTTTTATTTTTCTCTTAGAAATATTTAGGTAAGGTTTATCTTGAATCTTAATTGCCTTAATTTTAAGGACGTCAAAGGCTCTCAAGGCAAGCTGTCAACGTCTTGTTAAAAAAATCAAGAAAGAAATGAAATACTGTGCCGGCTTTAACTGGTACAGAAGTTTAAGACTATGAGTTTTTAGGGTGAAAAAACTGTACAGTTTAAAAGAAAATGTTTTTCTTCATTTGAAGAAAATTTGTTGATAAAAGAAACCATGGCAACTGCAAGAATTGGAAAAATGCTGGGACTTTTCATGAACTTTGTCTTAAGTGTTGAATCATTCTAGAAAGCTAAAACATTTTACGGTAAAGTTACTAAGGTTGGTTTAAAAACAACTGCATTAGAAATAATGCGTGTTTGGGGGTCAGAATGCAGATTTTTTTAATTTACAAAGCGTGATTGCTAGCAAAAGCATTAGTGCTTTTTATCTGCAGTCTTTTTTATGAGCTTTACAAAGTTTTTAGTCAGCTTTGCTTGTCACATTGCAGAACCTAGCGTAAGAGCATTAAAGACAAAAAACAAAAAACTTAAGTAGATAGGAGCTTATGGTCAAAAGTGCAAAAAACAAAACAAAAAAACAAAAAAAGCAATAGATAGAGAAATTGTTGACAATTTCTGTAGTCTTTCCTAGTTGTGATCAAATTCAGCCTATGGATGGCCTATTTTATACCAAAGATGAAGTGGCACCCTATTGCAGTCCAGAAGATAGAGGTTGTTTTCTTTTAAAAATTTTATTTGACCTACATGGCCGGACCAGTTCTTATTTTTGTTGTTTGTTTAAACTACCTTCCACTGGTGTTTTACATACTGCAAAAAAAAAAATTTTTTTTTTTTTTTGTATATTTGTTGACAGTAGAAGCTTGCACCTGCTGTATTCAGCAGTTTCAGCATGCAGAGGTCTGGATATACCAACTGATAGAGCCAAAAATGGCTTTAATTTCCATGAGTTTTTCTGGTTCCTTACTAGCTCTCTTGAACAGTGAAACCTGTATTGATTGCCACCAATAAGCTAAAACATGTGTTTAACAGGTTGAAATTGCTTTATGTGAATTTTGAACTAAAAACACTTCACAAACCTGGTCTGAACGGTCACTTGTCCAAAAAACTTAGTGATATTCTATTAAGTGAGGGTGGCCTCCTGAAAAGGTCTCATTGTATTTGTAACAGTAGTGTTCCTTCTAAATTCCAACACCTTTTGATTTTGTCTTTTCACCTCAATCTTTGTCGTCATCCACCATGAACAGTCACCTTGATTCTGCAGTTGAAAGGGAATATTTTCTCTTTTCATTGTATCTTCAAATCCTGGTGTTGTCAGAAGAAAGACAAAATAGACCTTTTTATTTCAGTTTAACTCTCTGAGGCAAGTAGGACCAATAAGATTGATGATTCTATTAGTGGAAGTTAGGTAAGCTTTTAAAATGCTAGTTGACAATCAAGACATTGTATAATTTATATTAATAAGAACCAAAACAATTAGGTTTGATCAATCATTTAAGCCAAAGGAGATATATTTGCATTGAGAATGATGCAAAACTTTGTCTAAAATGAATTAAATCAGTGTAACAAACATCTCTGCATATTTGGTTCATGAAATCCATGTTCAACCTATACAGTTTTATGTGAAACTAAGGCCAGTGAAACTTTGTTAATTGAATATGTACTAGAATTGCCTTCTGAATGAATCATTAGAATCAAATAAGTGAAACTTTTTTCATAAACTGTCATAGGAACCTGTCTTAGTCCAGAGGGAAGAGGAAAATGCATTAAGTGCACTGTAAAAGAAAACAGAAGGCTTTTAAAAACTTTTAAGAAATTTAAGAGATAATTCATATTCCCATTAGGTCAACATGAGTAATGAGTTTGACTCATGAAAGTGTCAATATTCTGCTATTTATAACTTACAAACAAAAGTCTAGTATTGAAATTGACCTGATTCTCTTATTTGCAACACCGTGTATTGGAAATTCAAATCTAGAGAGTGATTCCATATCTTTGTGGTCAAATTAAAGGCAAAAATACATCCAAGAAAATGTAACATGCTATAGAGAAATTCAAACTGGTCACACCCATCCTTATGGTTTTCCATGTTTTAGAGAGAATTCTAAATTTGTACTTCCTTCTTTTCCATCTTTCAGTTTCTCGTGTATTTTAAGGGTGGCACTTAAGTTTTATCTTTGAGTAGTGGGCCCTCAAGTTACAGGGGGTATAAGCAAACATTCATGGAAACTGTATTTTCTGTTTCTTTTTTTATTCATTCTCTGAACTCTTTGTATAAATAAGGATTATCCTGGGCATAATTCATTTGAATATGAAACCAACATGCTTTCTTTTGTTTCTGTAAAAAAAAAAAAAATTAACGTCATACAAAGAAAGTCTCATTTACACAATCGACAATGAGGCTAAGAGGTAGCTACCATGTGGCTGATGAATGTGCCTAGGCAACTTCCTGTTTCTATTCAAAACTACTGCTTTATTTATACATTCAGAAACATTTTTTTCACTATGAAATTTCAATGATCTCAATTTTTTTAAGCCACTTCAGGCAAAAGGAAATTACTTGTCAGTTTATGTGTTCATGTGTGTTTTGTGTTTGGATTTTTTATATCATGCCATTCTATAAAATATTTCAAATCAAAAAGAAAAAAAAGAAGGAAAAATGGCACATGTTCAAATTTACATCTGTCATCTTACCAAATAATTGTTTTTAAGAGTCATGTCTGGGGGAAAAAAAGCACCAACAGGTAAGCAGCATTACATTGTATGAAAAATAAAACAAACCAAAATATGTGTTCAATATTTGCAGACATCAGAATCCTAATTTACGTTATGGTTATTGTAATCCTATTTAGGACTATAAACTTTTTTTTTTTTAAGTATCCTGGTTTATCAGATTTTCAAGCATTTATTCAAATGTTCAATTTTTCCTTTCAACTTTAATTGCCAGGACCTAGCCTAAACATTAAAAAAAACAGACTAAAATCAGAATCCAAATGGAATAAACACTATGTCATCCAAACTCCAATTGCATGGTCAGAGGAGGAGTGGGTTTTCTTTTAATAATGATAAGGTGTTGTCTGGGGAGGCAAAGTATCCATGGTGACAGGGGCTCTTCAAGGCAGTCTAGGTCTTCTGAAGATATCAGGGACCCTAAGTGAACTAAATGTAATACTAGCAGGGGCTGGTGCTGTGATCTTAACAGATCTACCACATTTGACAGCATATAAGACTCACTTCCACCCTTTTCTAATGAAAAACTACATGGTGTTTAAAGCACTCGTCTTAGAGATGAAGGCTAAGAGTAGAAGGTGGCTGGAGGGAGCAGGAAGTTCACTGTACCTACAGAATATATCCACCCCTTGCAAAACTGCTTTAAAAGTATTTTCAATTAATGTATGACCAAAAAAAAGGACTTAGTTTTTTTCTTTATTAATAATTAGGATGTCAATTATATAACAAAGTATCCTTTACAGTGGCCTAAAATCCCATTAATGAAAAGTGAGATTTGATTTAAATAGGCCCTTTGCAGCCTTCTTCATGATTGAGAAGTTTCAGTGTGCTGTCTACACAGATTATAATATTAGTAGGAGACTCAAATACATTTGACAATTCAGTCTCATGCTTAATTTGAGTACACAAACCACTGCAGATGAGCTGATAAGCAGAGTTCTTAAGTGGGTTTCAGTGATAAATGTTTTCATATGATGTAAAATCAGATGAAAGGATAAATTTTATGTATGTGTATAACAATATTCAGCACATTTGAGAAATCACTTCAAAATATATTTTAAACATGTCATAGAGCCTTGATCTATATTATCTTGTCCACAGTAGGGAGTAAAAGATGAGATTTTGTTTTTCATGTTGTTGTGGCTGTCATCCTTCAAAATTTTGAGTTCCATGGGACTGACAGCCTCTCACTCCTATCTGAGGGACTAATGTAATTGAAACAGGCTCATTGATTGTGTACACTATACTCTTCCTGTGACAGAGTGATAATGGGATTTCATTAATGTATCCATTCGTTTTACAAGTAAGATTCACCATGACATTGGAAGACAGTTGAGTCTAACTCAAATTTAACAATTTTTACCAAATATTTTTAAGTATATAATTAATCTCTTAATCCAAGTGCTCTTGGTCATGGCTGTCCTTTGTGGATTACATAGAGTTCAGGAAAGTATGAAACCTAAATATAAGATCCCTGAGTGGCCTCAAATTTCTTTTATGATGTAGAGCAGGGGGCTCACCCCCAGATTTTGGTATCTTTTATCTTTGGTTTTATACCCCGTTACATACGCTAACTGAAGGATGGATGGCTTCTCAATATTTATTTCTTTATATTTCTGGGAGGGAAAACAATGTTTTAGGAAATGCTTCTTTCACTCAGGAAGCTTTAAAGCTAAAGCAGAGATGAGCGCAAGCTTAGCGTCTCCAGGAAGAACTACTAGGCCACTAAATCACATTTTCTTCCATTTTACTCATGCCAGTCAGTAACTGCCCCATGACTGAATCTTGCAGAAATGCAATCACTCTCAATTTTTGAAGGGCTAATTATCTACTTTGTGGATTTGTTTTGTCTTTTCAACTATTTGAGGCTCTATTTCCTTTTATTACCATGTTACCCTAAGGGTGGAAAGAGAAACAATTGGAAATAAAATTCAAATCAGTCTATTTTGCTTCTTGTTAAGTATTGATTTATTAAAGGAGTTTGAAATCGTTTGTAAAATTAATGTCAGTGCATTATATACTGTTGATTTTTATTATCCATGATGTTCCTTTCCCATCCACCACAAATAATTGAGAGTTGGCTGTGCTCTTGCAGAATATAAAGCGGGGAGCGGTGGGGAGGGCGGGGGAAGATGTAGCAAAGAATTTGGCTTCCCTCAAAAGAAAGCTGTTTTGGTTTCATCCTCTTTTGAAATTTGAACCAGTAGAAAAGGTCAACTCAAAATTCAGTTATGAGAATATAATAGCAGCTCTTGGTTAAATACACACTCATATCTTAAATCTTTGACCAAACAAAATTGCATTGTTTTGTTATTTTTTGACTTTTCATTATGATATTAAGGCTGAATGACCTTGACACTCCAGTGGATTTTTTATGATCATTTCAAATTTAAATAGTGTTCAAAGTGTAACTTCAGTGTTACACTTTGTATTTTAAACACTCTTGTCTTTGATTATTAAGAAAGATGCTCTTTCCTCCTCCCCAAAATATGTCATTTTCTCACATGTGAAAAAGGAGTTATTCCGTACTTTTCAGGAATTGTAAAAACTATTTCAAAGAGACACTTGAAAAAGTTTTCTCCATTCTGGAGATTAATGCTTCCATTTATTTAAAAAGAAGAAGAATATAATTGGAATCCTAATTTTAAAAATATATACATAAAAGTATACTTGCTATGGAATACTCAGTTTCTTTAAAAAAAAAAAAATGGGACACAGCTTCTTTTAAAACCCTTGTTTCAGGCCATATTTGACTTCATGGAATTCTGAAACATCATCCAATTTTGAACTTTACTTAAGAGTATTTTGTACTGATGTCTCTGACTGTCATAGAAAGTTCTGTAATTCTACGGTGTTTCTGGCTTTATTTTTAATTTTTTCATCTGTACCACAGTCAAACTAGCTACCATTTCCCCAATTCCCTGGGCTTTCTGTAGATCAGTGGATGTTAGGTTTAAACTTCTGTTTTCTTTGATGAAGCTTTCAATAAAAAATGAAAATAAAATCAACCAAGTAGGGCCATTGTGTTCTTCTTCACTCTCCTAGAGATAGGTTTGGGGGAAGGGCTGGTGGGAAGGAGCAATGTCTGTCTGTATTTAATTGGGTATACAGAATTCCTCAAAGAAAGAACCATTCCTAGAGACCAAAAGTGAGAGAGGAGGGAGCATTCTGTTCATGCAAGGGGGCCTGAGAAAATCACTGTTGGGGCACATGATAGTGTACTTGGAGGCTACTGCTAGATCCAGGTAACTTTCCACATGACATCTTCATGCTTTAGAATATAAGCACCTAAGAGAAGGTGTAGAGCAGAGGTCTAAACGTTTTTGGAACCAGGGACCAGTGCTCCTATGAGAATTTAATGCTTGATGATCTGAGGTGGAGCTGAGGTGGTGATACTAGAAGTTGCAAATACAGATGAAGCTTCACTCACTCGCCCGCCGCTCACCTCCTGCTATGCAGCTGGGTTCCTAACAGGCCTTGGACCGGTACCGGTCTATGGATCAGGCTTTGGAGATCCTTGGTAAAAAATGCTAACTAACCAGTGTTCAACCTCTAAGGCTGTGTTGTGTGTTATACCCTTTTCCCCCACGTGAGTAGCAGTTCACATCGTCCTTCTTGGCAGAAGAGAAAGCTGGAAGAATGGAATTATTGGAGAGTATCAGAAAATAAGACTTGTACGAAGATTTTAAATTTAATTACACCCACATTCCATCATTGTTTTTAGAGCAATGGTTCTTTTATGTTGTTTGTTTGTTTTCCAGGAATTATATACTTGTAAGAAGATAATAATACCACTATCGGCGCCCATTTGGACAAAATTTTTGCAGGGCATTTGGGAACTTCCTGAAATACATCCATAGGCTTTTGGTGAAAAATCCTTTATTTCGAGATATAAAGATTAGAGAAAGAAGACTAGGGAATGAGGAAACAGAACACCCCTTGGGTATATAATAACCACTATTTCTTGACCTCATATCTGTGTATTTTTGACTGTTTTATAAATTATTTTCTCCCAAAAGAACAGAGTGTTTTGTCAACTCTCAATAGTACCAATAAAGTTCATATTCAGTAAAGCTTTTTAAAAGAGATGCTGACAAAGATAATTCCTAGCTGCTCTCCAAAGTTAATAAAGTGAAAAGTAATATAGCTCGAACTTAGAGGATTTAATTATTTCTGGATTTTCTGCAAAAGAGTGTCTTTTACAATATTGATAAAAAAAAAAAATCTCTCATATGGTAAAAGGCTGTGTTTTCATTTAAATCCTCTGAGGCAGAGGGTGCATTTTTCTCCACCAGGATCTTTCTCCTGCCCTTAGGAAGCTGCCAGTGACGATTGTGATAAAGTGGTCACCAGATGGCGCTACTGTATTAGTCTCCAGTGGATTCCAAACCCAAATCCCAGAATCTGTATTCCTAAACAAAACTAGTAATGTAAAGTCTGACTGTAAGAGCCAGAGTCACCATTAACTGAGCCTTCAGTATGTGCCCGGAACTGTGCCAAGTGCCCACCACCCTTGAATTCACACAATCCTCCCGAGTGCTCTATGTAGGTACTGTCATCATCTCCATTTTCCAGATGAGAGTTGAAAAGTTGGCAAATTACTACATCTAGGAGGGACTGTGCTTTTAAACACATATCTAAAATTTCAATCCCGGGTTCTAAGGTTTTATCTTCTGCAATGCCTTTAGGAAATGCCAGTGTAGGAGGCATTTCTTTTTTTTTAATTTTCTTTTTCAAAAGTTCACCTCACTTGGCCTGAGATTATGTGGTTTCTGTAGACGAGGGAATTAGATGTCATTTTAATCACCTTGGTCACAGAAACCCAACACAATTCACATTTTCCATCCCAGAAAATAACTTGCTGTTTCAATCATCTCTGTGATTTGTTCTGGAAGGAAAGAACCTATCTACCAAATGGATAGGCATAACTTTTCATTGATTCATTGATTTAACAGTGCCTAGCACATGGATACTCCATAAATATTTTAATGATACAAAGATAGAGTAGGCATGGTTCTCGTTTACAAGAGTATTCTATTTTAGTAGGCACCAGTTTGTGACAACATTGT